ATGGCATGTGTTAGAAGTGATTACAGGCCGTTCTGGTTGGAAAAATTCGCCACTTTGGAACGACCCCTCAGTCAGTGACAATGCTGAGGAGGTTCTTCCCATGGCTATTTTTGCTTTGAGGCTTCTGAACTCCAGGTGAAGACAAAAAAAAAAGTGACTATTAAGCTGGTGATTGGGATTGCACAATTATTTCACCAGTGATCAGCGCTGCAGGTTATGACCCAGTGTCTCAGTGACAGGTAAATTAGTCCATGAGATACAGTCATTAAAAGGAATGTAACAGGTTCAACATGGATGACTGTGCTCCCTTTGAGCCTATTGGACAGTAGTTTCTCCAAAGTGGAGGCTGCTGCTGCTGAAATTGCATTTTTTAGTTCTTCTCAGGAGAGTCCCCAGCCCTCAGAAGAGAACTGTGATGGACAAGAGCATGGGCGGATGAAGGCAGGAAGAGTTTGTCCACACCCATCCCAAAGATTTACAGGCTCCAGGGAAGGCAAGGAGCCAGGAATAAAGTGAAATATCCTCAATGAATAATTCATTTGTTGGAAAGTGGTTTTTCAGGGAAACTGAAGCCATACAGAGATTTGGACAAATTCAGCTGAAACACTCTCAGCCATAAAAGAGATGGATAGGAGGGGAATATACAAAAATCTTGAAATATGTTGTAATATTTTGTTTCAGCCATCTGGATAGATTCCTTTAAAAGGCACATTCAAAGCCTTGGGGTTTTGTCTCAAAATAATTAATTTTTCTTTATTTTTTCTTCTCTTTTTTTTTTTAATATACATAACTTAAAAGAACAAATGTACTAGAAGGTGCTAAATGATCTGAAAAAGAAATTGATGCTGATTTGTGTCCTCAGGAACTGTTATTTTGTTCCTTTTATGCTTGCATGGGGAGCCCAGGACTAGCTGACACAGCGGCCAGCATCGAGATTTGTCTCCTTTTCCTGAGTTCTAGTGTAGTTCAGTGAAGCTGCTAATAGCACAGTTTCTGGGAAAACACAGGAAATATAGCTTGTGTTTGTAAAATCTCTGGTGTATGGATTGGAAGGTTTGCACATCTCGGTAAGAAGATGGCGGAGGCTGGTTTTGGTGAAGTTCACATTCACACTGCTACCTGCGGCCAGGTGGCCTGGCGAGCCTCAGGGGAGAGAGTGCTCTTGTACTCTCTTGCTAGATGCACATAAACCGTCTCCTTGGTCAGTAGTAGTGTGGAGCAGGACACATGTTGGTGCTTTAGGGCAGGAAAGCTAACAGGTAAATGAAGTGCTTGGCTAGAATGATCTCCCAAGAACAGAGAAGCTTCAGAAGGTTCAAGGGCTCTGTGGTGGCACTGTGGGATACAGTTTCGTTGTGCACTGCGTAAATCATGAGGAATTGTGACACACTGGCAAGGCAAAGACAGGAAGATCCTGGTAGTCATTCCTTTTTGATAATACTGGTTTTCTTCATTAGAATTACTGTCTGATGCAACCTAAATGTACCATGGTGCTTAAGTTAAAGCAGTGTGAGTAATTTAGTCAATTAATTAGGTGGGGGTAGCACTTACCTTCCATTGTGAAGGGATCAAAGGAAAACACTTAATAGCATTTATGTTCTTGTTCTGCTCCATACCTTAGCATCAATTCATTCAAATAAACCTCTGACCCAAATGTTAATGTAAGTTATTATATTAAATTATTCTGCTTTGGTGAACATTTCTACCCTGTATCAATGTCACGACTGCTGGAACTCAACACATGCTGCTTTGCAGTAACTGGAAGTGGACAGAAAAATGGCCACACGAGTGAGGAACACCCAGATAGCTCTAAACTTCTGGCCTTCCTCTATGAAGTATTTCCTCGTTTCTTCCACCAAAAAAACATGTGCAGAGAAGCTGAGAGGGAGATTCCACAGATAGACCCGGGCCTCCAGCACTTGTGGGTGTCAGTGTCCCCAGATGAAGGAACCTGAATGGAAAATTACTAGAAGGGGAGCATTAATACAGAGAAGAATTTGGAGTTTGTGGATACTTTTTATTTGTGGTCTTCTGCTGTTTAAGTGTTGTGGTTCAGTACTGGGGCCTCTGCAGAAAGAAGGGGGCATGGAAAATAAAGGATAATTTTTCCTTTGACTTCATTATTGCCAAGGTTTCCCTCCACATCCCTGAGGAATTTATATTAGAGAGGTTTATTCTACTAACAATCTATTAGCAGGATTGGCCCCTTACTGAAAGCATGATGCAGTGCATAAGATTAAATAAGGTAAAATAAGATTAAGTTGTAAGAAGTTAGATTGTGTGTAGATGCTGAATGTTTTTACCTCTGTGCTAAAGGTATTCACTTTGGTCGTTGATTGCATTGTGAACTGAGCCATTAGAAATGGCCCAGACCTTGCTAACACTGTCAGCTAAGAGTGACACATGTAATACATACATTTCTGGGGAGATTCTTCAAGTTTGAGATACCAAGTTGTTTTAATAGCCTGGACTTTGATTTTATTTGTCTGTGGTCATGCTGTAGAGTAAAGGCAATTAAATTATCTCAATGTCATAAATATATTTAATTTTTTTCTTTAGAATGTCATATCTTCTTCAGCAATTTAATAGAATTTAATACTGTTTAAAAGACAAGGAGAAATGAGGCTTTATTAAATTCAGTAAGTCCTTTGCCTAGGATATTTTTCTACTTTAAAGCTTTTTCTACTTGAAATAAGTGAGACTCATTTCATGTTTCCATTCAAGAGTTTGACAAATGGTAGTGCCGTACACAATCACAAGAAATAAAATCTTTTAGGACACGAGCAGCAGTAACAGGGAGATGGCTATACAGCTGGTTTTGGTTGCATCTCTGATAGAAGGATCCTTGCACTGTCCCTTAATACTGTACAGAAGGTGGTATAGGTCTGTGGCTGTGACTAAATGTGTGCTATGGGTACTTGTGTGCTGGTTCACTGACCTCCGTTCAAGTGTTACATTTTCCTCTGCTGAAGGTTTTCGAAAGAACAGAGCGGTCTTTCAGGTGTAGGCCATACCAGATCCACATCTGTGTGTGCGTGAGCATGAGAGACAGCTGTCTCGAATGATTTACTCCTGTAACTCTGGTCTCTGTCTTCCACTTTTGGCATTTTTCTCCTTTACTTCTCCCAGGAACAAAGAAGGGAAAACCCAGAGACTGCAGTGACGCCTATTAAGGCTTTCTCACGGATTGCATTTCTCAATCCGTAGCCTCAACAAATGCTGAACTGTACTATATTCGGTGTTTCATCAACAGGCAAAAAACCAAACTCTTGCACACCAGCCCTTCATAATGTCGCTGATCACTGTCACTCGGTCACTCATATATACCCAATACATGGGAAGCTTTAATACACATGCTATGTTTTCTCCCAAAATACTGCATGTAGAGCCAAAGCTACAGATAAAATAGTTGAAAAACTGATAATCACCCACGAGATCTGTTTGTCCAATATTGCGTTCCTGTCCATGAGATTAACACTGCACTGCAGCAGTGTATGTGGAGTTTTCACATGCATAATCTTGGGCAAATATACAAGCTTTTTCCCCAGCTGGTCATGTAACAGATCCTTTTCTTAGTCTCCAGTTCTATGTATCCAGTTGAGATGTAAGGAGAGGAAAATAATTTGACTGTATTCCATTACAATGTACCCTAAAGCCTCCTGTGCACCTATGATCTACTAGTGCCAAAAAGATGTAGTTAGTGTGGTACTTTTGGTGGTGTTTGGTCTTTGTAAAGATTTAAGTCAGTTCGGATTGAATAGTGGGTAGTACAAACTGGATTAGCTACAGTCATACTCATTCTTCAGTCTAAAGGTATCCATTTGCTAAGGTGGACAGCAGTTTATGTAAACCCTGTTGTTTCCAAACAGTTACCTTCTTCAGTACCAAGCACTGCGTAATGTCTTGAAACAGTTATTCTTTCATGTTACATTCAGGACATGACTGAAGGGCTTCAAGAGGGCAGTGAAAATGTGCATGGTTCATCTGGATGTTTGTTGCTGTTTTCTGGAATTTGAGTTAATGAAAACAAAGTTTGAGAAAACTGCCTGGTTTGTTTTGGTATTTTGTTTTGTTGGTTTTTTGTTGTTGTTGTTGGGGTTTTTTTTTCCCCTTTTTAATTATCTCAATCCCAGCTTGCATTATCTTCCAGAAATTCAGTATTGAATCCAGCTGGAAGTGACTGCAGTATTATTTTGCCATAGCACTAAAGCATTTTGTCTGGAAGTTCAGCTATTTAGATTACACGTCCCTCTTGATGCTTAATGTTCAAGAGCTCTTCATTAGAAACATCAATGGTATTAAATAGAAATGGATCTAGCATGATGTTATAAAAAAATCAGACCAGTAATGCAGTATCCACTTGGTATAGCATTTCCATTATAATAAATTTCATGTAACTCTGAATTCTTTAACATAGAGGAGGGTAACTAAAATAACACAATATATTTATTTTACTACTAAAAGCTTTAATGAACTTCAGGAAAATAGTTTCAATACAGTGTTGTAAAAGCTCTGTTACCTTGTGCACACTGACCTCAGTCCTGCAAACAATTACACTTGGGCACAGCCCCGCTGACTGCCAATGGCCAGCTCGTCTGTAAAGTGAAACATGCGTGTGTATACTTGTAGAGATCAAGGCCTCGCTCTAGTTTGGAAAATTTGAAATATTTTAACCAAGGGGTAGGTTTTGCAGCAACACTCGAGCAAGAAAGTTTTCCTTAAAATCAGGCAGATAAAGCTTTTTTTCTCTGCCACTGACTAAAAGCTCCTTCTAGCTGGTACTGAATAGGAAACTGCCAGGTGTGCCCTGTGAACTTGGCCACACTTCACGGATAACCGGCCCACGGCGGGTTGGTGAGGCCCATGCCTTGGTCCTTCACCATGCACAGCCACCCTCATTGCGGTAGGAGCTCTCCTCAAAGGAGGTGCCTCAATTTTGGGCCAGAGAGAGAACCAGTTCCCCCTCCAGTCTCTTAATTCCCTGTTGGTTTTTCCCACAGCTGGCTGTTCCACACAATGACGAGTGGACCCGCTTTGCTCGGACCTTGGTGGAAATCCGTGCCAACCGAGCAGACAGCGAAGAGGAAGGGGCAGTGGAGCTGTCGGCCTAGAGGAAGAGGAGCTGCAGCGCCTGCCACCGCCAGAACAGCAGCTTTCACCCGCTGAGTACGCACGCCGGTGTTCAGTGTCAGAGTCAGTCTTGCTGTGGCTTTTGATGCCAGTGTACATGCCAGTATTGCTCAAAGCATTCTATATTAATCACACTGCTTTACACAAGGCTGAAAATATCCAGAGCATTTTCATACTTTATATTTCTGTCTGAAAAGTAAGAAAGAAAAGACAAATCAACCCTTTATGGGTTTAGTTGTTGCCTTTTAACTACTTAGTAGCTGTATTTAATAGCTAGGAACCCCTGGTTAAACTTGTGCTCACATTGCCCTTCTGGCATAGTCCTATTAAATCCATATGAAGCCAGATATGATTATGTGCAGATGTGGTGTGCTTCACTGTATGGGACTGGGCCAAAGACTTTAGATGTGGTGTTTCACATGGTGACTTACATTATGAATGGATGTACTATACGAAAGTTGCTGCTCCTTATTTATTGCGGTGTGCTGCATGGAACATATTTATTTGAAAGCATTAAAATAAACGATCCTAAAGCATGTGCATAATGAGAGAACTGCATTGTCTGTGTGCTGCTGTAGAGGTTACATTAAAGTCCACGTAACAATTACAGTACATCAGTTGTGCTTAAGATATAAGATCTATAAAGGTTGGCTTGAGTGGATGGAATGAGTTTCCTTTCCTTTTTTTTTTAAGATGCCTATTATTTCTAGGCACTTTATCTATATTTCAAATACAGTTGGTCACTGATACTTGTCATGCAAGTTAACACTAACAGTCTGACTAAGGGTTGTGGTTCCTGAGTATGACACTAGTATTTGCCAATAAAATGTATCAGGCCTGTTCTGTTGCAGTGTGGTTAATCTTTCCTTGCCAGCAGTGCTCAGCGTGTTCATTACCAGTCACTGGTGAAGCACTGGGAAAATGTGACTGCCCTGACTCACAGAATGCTCCTGCAGCTGCCATGTAAATAGACACCTTTGGTACAGGACTGGCCAGTAATGGACTTGAGCGCATCAGATCCTGTTACGGATTTTACATGAGCAGGCACTAAGGCGTGTCAGCTTCTAGGCTAATTTTTATTTTTCCTCCATCCTTAGCATGCTCACTTGCACACATGTGCAGAGAAGCACTGTGCTGCCATATGTGCTAAGACAAAAGGAGTAGGAAAGACAAGGCCTCCTCAGACTGTCTTGAGAGACAGGTTGGGACAGGGGACAAGGGAATAGGCTCCTTTACGATAATCTCTTGTGGTCTGAGAAAAGAAACAGAGTGCAGACTGATCTCATTGAGTGCTGTGGTCCAGAGGGACGAGAGTTGGTGGTGAGGCTGCTCGATACATTCGTGTCACAACACTGCTGGGCCAGAGCACATCTCTGATGCCTGGGTTTAGCAGCAGTTCACACTCAGAGCCACAGGGTGAGCCATTACAGCAAGAAATGCTGTGAGTCAGACAAGAAAGATCTTGTATGTCGTTTGTAGGGAGCCACGTCTCGTCTTTGGGTAATCATGTTGAGGAATATATCATCTAATCATGTTTGGGGCTATGGTCTAAGACTAGGCTAAGAAAATGAATCCTTTGGAAAAGCTACATTTCCCTTATCCACTTGGTGGTTAGAAATAACTCCCAGTGAGAGTGCATGAAGAAAGTGCTATTTTCTTCTTCACAGTGCAAAGTGAAACTATCTGCCAGTGCCCATGGAAGTGTTCTGCCATTGGGCTGAGAGGAGTGTTCTCTCAGATGATCGACTACACACAGCAGAGATACATCAGTCATTGGTCCTGTAGCTCACTGAGGTTGTAGCCATGTGTTAAAAAGCTTTGTGTTCCTGCTGCTCCCCTGGGTGCTTTGGGAGCTGTCCTGAAGGACCAATGTAGCGCAGCACTTCTATAGCAAGTGCTATAGAGGTGAATGCTAACAGCCAGGTGAGATAACTGTAAAGCAGCAGTTTAGACATCATCTCTGGGGTTTTTCCCCACTTTTGCCCTGTTTTTCTTTCAATAACCATATGTGTTATCTTTATATGTGGGTAAAGTAGTTGTGGTACAAAGTGGAAGTGGGGGAGGCACAGTTGGCCCACACTTGGGTCACAAGATGAGGAACACGTGCTCAGGCAGATACACAGCAAAGTACTGCTGTCATGGGAAGCAGAGGTGGGTACTTGCTATCCTTCTACCTGCTAAGTAAATGCACACCTCAAAGTGTGGGACACCCTCCCATTACACTGTGGTGTAACAGGAAGGGTGTTTAACTGATGTCATCTCCTGTTCATCGTAAGCAGTGCAGTGGGAATGGCTGGCAGATACGCTTCTTCTTTTTCCATATTACTGTTCAGAGAGGCTGCATGTTCATGTCCAAGCTCTCCCTACTTTATGGCATTAACAGCTCGTAAAATGGTTTTAAGGGCAGCCTCAGAAGACCTTCAGCATTTGCTGCTGTGTGCAAATCAATATAACCAACTCCTTTTTCAAAATTTTTCCTTTCTTTGTTGGTGTGAGGTTCAGCGGTACACAGAGGGAACAAGGAAAAGATGCAGATTTCTACAGAAATTACCAGGTTTGTAAATACAGAGCAATGAAAGGGCCATTTTACACAGCTAAAAGTAGATGGAAGAGCACCCAAGAAGAAGAGGCATTTACTCCCCTTCTGTTGCTCGTGATGTTGTGTGGTGGTTTCTGACCCACCCTTGTTGCTGCCCTTCCAGGAATCTCCCACAGTTCTTGTTTGTTTGATTTTCCTGCTGCTAAACAAATAGCTCCACTTTACTGGCTTTCCAAAAAGAGCCTGTATGACAAAATGTTCCTCAGAATCTGCCCAGTAGGAAAATAAATACAACATTATCATTTATTTTGAGCAAAGAGATATCATCTTCTCCAGGCTCTTTAGCCTACAAACATACAGAGAACAGAAGGAAGAACATGAAGAGTATGTCTCATGCTCTAGCGCTGCTGGGATGATGCCATGACTGCTCTGGGTGTGGAATAAGTCAAAAACAGCCTGGATCTGTTTTAGGACCATTGCAAGTAAGCTTTCTGTGAAAGACATAAACTGTGTGCTCAGACTGATCTGGAGAGCACATCTGAACCACAGAGGTCAGAGAAAGCAAACCCAGCTAGGACAGAAGCAGGCAAGTGTCAGGAAAAGGCTGAACTGAGGTTTAGGATGGAGGAAAGGACTGCGAGGTGGATGTGGGAGGGACATGTCTTGAACTTGATGAAGGGAAGACCTTGATTTTGGTGCCAAGGACTTGGGATTTGTTCTGAAAAGAGCTGCAGAAGGACATGACAGGTGGCACTGGGCGTGGGAGCTGAAGGCATTTGCTAAAAGGGGAAGCAGGGTACTTCACCTTTATGATGTACTCTTTTCAAGAGCCCCCATAGTAACATAGAAAGGAGATGAGCTCACAGAGCAAAACAGCATCCCACATAGAGTGGGATGGTCTCCACTGACCAGTGAGAAAGGAGACTCTGCTATCACAGGGCAGCATCAGTCCTAAGGAAGGACTCAGCACCTAATGGTGCTAAAGAGTAGCCACCCGTCCTTGAGAAGCTCACAGAACTGGTTCTCCTTCAAAGCAAAGCTACTTCTGTAGTAGCACCACCATGTCTGGTACACAGTGTCTGCACAGCCTGGGGTGTGAGTAAGCACAGAGAGAGGCCAGGCAACCCTTTGCAATGTAACTACAGCAGCTGGAATGAATCTTGCAAGCAATGGTACTGCTTCCTGCTGCAATGAGGAACAGTGCAAGTAGCAGTTAAAATGATAAATATGCTTCTTAAAATGTCATCTCTCTGAAGGGCAACAGACACCTCAATGACATCCTCATGTTCAGCACTGGGAGAGGCTGCCTGAGCTCACAGCCTGAGTTATCCACTGCCCACTGTGCAGAAAGCAGAACCACTGTATGGCAGGTGGTATTAAAGAAGCTGCTTCATGCCAGGCTGCTTCTGTGTTATTTGCTGTGTTTGAAGCTCTCTGGAGACACTTAAAATACAAATGTCTGGAGACTTCTATATTCCCAACCATTAAATAACTTACAAATTATCACCATCTCTGGAAATCGCCTTCTAGCTTATGCAAAAGTGGCAAATATTTAAACTGAAAACAGAGTCTGAATTTCACAGGAGTGTTTAAATGGCAAAGCTGTAGGATTCCCAATAGTCCCTCTGCCACGTGTGCATTGGAGAGCTGAGGAGCTCAGCAGCAGGCAGTGTGACATGTATGCACATCATGGTGTACAGCAGACTGTCCCCTCCTAGGAAGATGCAGAGCAGTTTGTCAGGTTTTATATTTGTAGCAGGTTTAGAAAAACCTGCCCAAGTTATTTTTGAAGCCTGTGGTATGTTTGCTCACACAAGTGTCCCTGCAAACTGTCAATATTAAGTCAGCTTAAAACCCAACCAATTCCCTGGGGACCAGGCAGAAAAGCATCTCTCGGCTTCTACTGGACTGAGAAACACAAATACGAGGTAACTGCTCCAGAGATACCCCGATGGGGTATCACCAGTATTTGGCCACTTCTTTTTTTTCTACAAGTGCTGTCACAGGGAGTTAGCTGGACTGCAGGAAGCAAGTGAGGTTACATTTTATCCAATTGCATAATTCACTCAGAAACCCAGAGAGGACAAACATTGTCCTCAGGGCCTTTTGTTTGTTTGCAAGGCAATCTGACAATTTCTTGGCCTGTAAACTTTTCAGAGCAGGAATGCATCCTTTTGTGTCTAGAGGAAATCGACTGCGGGCACAGATCTTCCCCAAGATCTTTGAGATGTTTTGAACTGGGTTGCCTGTTAACGAAGCAGCCACTGGCTCTTCAACCCTTCTGCCCCTGCCTCCACTGTCTACCGGCTCTGAAAAGATGGGTGGAAGGAGAGAACAATTCTCCAGAAAAGTTAATGGGGAAGGGAAGGACCACCATGGGTGGGGGTGTCAGTCGGCCCTGTTGATGTGCCTGCCAGGGAGAAGATGAAGGCTGTAGCCTTCTGAGATGGATCTGCCATAGGGGAGCTGTGCCTGACCTTTGTCCCTGGGATGAGAGCTTTCTCCTTCATCCCTGGAATAAGAACAAGTCATAAATATACTGCCAGGCCTGGGAACAAGAGGGCACCAGGAAGCAGGGAAATCAGTCTGAGTTATGCTTTGTTTTATGGAACACAAGCAACAGTCTTTACCACACAAGCCAAGAAGTTGTGCAAGCCCGACAATAACCTAGCTCTAATTCCTCTTCTGTTCCTGGCTGCAAAGCCCCAGCAGCACTGGGGTTTGGTGTCAGGCAGCAGAGGGACGTGCTCTAGAGCGTACAACCTGGGTGTCCCTCTCCAGGCTGAGCCAGGAGGGAGCAGCTGCTGGCCAAGCCCATGCACGTGGCCAGACACTTCCTCTCCTGGACTGGGAAGAAGGTGCAGTTCAGTGCTCAGACATCGCCCCTGAGCTGCTGACTTTCCACAGAAACCCTTGACAAGGTATGTCAGGCAAATGTGAGGGATAAAGTGTAAAACCAGCTCTTATGCAGCCTGAAATCTCAGGTGTCAAGCACAGGCAGCTCCCAGAGAGAATGTTTAACTCTTATGACAAGCCTTAACCAAAAATCCTGACAGTTAATTTTGAAGTAATACAAGGGACAGCTTTTTTTCCTTCCATTTCTGAAATGAAGGAGCTGTCATCTGGGGAGACTCGGATACACAGGGCTGAGAGGAAGCAGTTGGTGGCTGTCAGAGCCCAGTGCAGTCTCTGCACACTGGTTTAGCCAGACTCCAAGATGCAGCTTCAGGTAAATGTCATCTTCTCCCCACACGCCTGAGTACTGCAGATGCTATTCCTGCTCCGCCTCAATTCCACTGGTAAC